CTCACCATTTGAGGATTATATCAAGCATAAGTGATGATCAGAGCTTTACAAATTTGCAACAGAATGCTTTATAGCATCAGATTGCTGACTTGGTGTTCTTTGGTCTATACCTGTTATTCAATCATTTATCAAAGCACTACATATCTAATATGAATAAGGAGAACATGGAACTGCAATGGAAGATAATGCAAGTGACAAAATGCCAAAAGTTGTATGTTGCTGGCATACAAAGGACTTTAGACATCAATTTACATAAATAATTTCAGTGTAACTTGGAAGGCAAGTTAATTTATAGTTGATATAATAATTTCATTAACATTTTACACATTCAAAAGATAAACCTCAGAAAGAACAAGACGATGAAGTAACATGTTTGTAAATGTGTTTGTAATCTCAAAGTGTTTGTAATTATGACAAATACAAAAGCTTCCAGGCCTACTCTGCTGTGGGGAGAAGAAACAATGGGCCAAGTCATCCGCAGCTATTATGGAATGGGATAAATGCTGTCCCAGAATTTTCTACCTCTGTTCCTGTGTAAAAGCAATGTGGGTAGTTGGCTTGTATGTGGGCAGCTTCAGATGGATTTCACCTCCAGTAATTTGAATAAAACATGGTGTTTCACACCAGAAAGAATTATTTGTTTCATTTTACAGCCATAGGGTACTGCAGAGTATTCATGGGATCAGAGATTTAGTAACTGTGAATTCTTGGGCTGATAAAATATCCCAGTTATTTTTGTGAGACATTATTTGTATTTTTGATTATGCCATCTAAATGTGCTAACACCTTGGTCATCACTGCAGAAAATCTAGCTCTATCCGAAGATTTTTACTTCAGCATTCAGCAAGTACAGTTTCTGCCATATGATGAGGGTACTGAGATGTTTGAAAACTGTTATCACTTATGTCAATGTCCAGTGAAGTCAATACTGAGAGAGAATAAAAGGAAACCTGCTGCCTCTCAATTCTCTAACACATTTTTACTGTTTTTTTTTTTTTTTTTTTTTTAATGAGATTAAGAGCAGAGCATGTGTCCTCAGTAGTTTTGCTTGTTCTTACATAGATTATTGATGTAGCACCTTTTATATTTTTCCGTAATAATGTTCTAGGCTTGGAAGACAATTGGTTCACTCACTTGATGTTGTTTGAGATGCATATGCTTACAGACATCATAAATCTTGCCAGTTTTTTTCCATCATCCTGTATGGAGGATGAAGAAGCCTCTTCCATGTAGGCTTCTTCCAGCAGTGCTGGTCTTATCATCAAGCCTGTAATACTGTCACTTTTTTGGTAGGGAAGAAACAGACACATTATTGAGGTTAGGAGTCACCATCAACAAAACATATTTATGGCAGTTGAAGTACAGTATGTAGAGGAAATTTTCACTTTCATATGTTGTAATGACCCTATTATACTAAAAAGAATATCTTAAAAACGTAGAGATTTTTAGTATCCTAAAGAGTTTCAAAACCTATTATGCAACTGGATAGAAGAGCAATATCTCTTAGTATACTTGCACTGTCCAGCTGCACTGAAGACAATATCTATTGCTTGAAAGTTTTTTTAAATTTGCAAACCTGCTTGTATCATGTGCAATAATGAATATACAGTGCACTTTGGAGCAAGGAACTGTTGAGTTTCCCTTGACTTTAAAAATGTAAATGAAATTATCACAAATTATCACAAATTACATTAAATGAGCACATCTACACTACACTAATGAAAGACAGTTTGATGCTTGGAAAAAAAAAACCAGTTAAAAGAACTATTTTGTTAAGAAAGTTGATAAGTAAGCTTGACCATATATTTAAAGTACTGCTTAATTAATTTCTTCTTTGTTATACAGTGAACAATGCTATACAACACATTACAATCTCTCTAATTCTCATGAATCACTTGGAGACTTATAGAGGCTTACCAAATTTTGTGAATTAACAAATAAATGAATGGCCGTAATGAAAAGCCAAAGTTACTGTCCCACAGTGTTTATTATGAGCAGTCATCTGTGCTGAGAGGAGGACTGAAGGAGGACTGTTCTATAGACTGACAGTTTGTGACGATGCTTTCACATTTTCAATATATAATTTAAGGTATTTACTGCATACTTATTCAGATTTGGTCCTTGCTTACTTTAATCCTTTCCTGTTTAGTGAGTGACATGGACAAATCATAATATTTGTCCATTTGATTTTAGGAAGTGAATATAAAAGAAAAGTATTTGTGGTAAATTGAAAAGAAAGACAAATGTAACATGGAGGAACAGTGTGCTAAACGTATTGAAAAATGCTTTATGTAAAAACTGAAAGTGACAGCTTTTACTACCCTGAAAACATGATACTAAGTGATGTCTGGGGATCCAATACACATTATTCAGTCCCCTAGGGCCTAAAGATGGTTAAGAAGAGTAAGTCTGTGCTCAGCCTCCAGTACCAAATAATAGTATTTCCACTCAGCACTAGGTCTAATCACAATATAGATGCCAGTGAACATTTAAGTGCTCTTGATAGTTAAGGTACAACCACTGCTGACTAATATTATGGGAGATGCTGTTTACCAACTGGGGCAGCTGTGTCACTTCATGCTTTTCCCATTAGAAAGGATTCATGTGACCTTTTCTTTGAAGAATATTAATTCATGCTGTGTTTCAAAAATGTTTTTGAGATGAGACAGAGGAAATCCAGTCTGGTTGGAGAAGCACCGTTGAAAGAGCAAGTTTTCTGCCATCTTCAGGAAAGCAGCAGAGGCTGCTGCTTCTCCTTGAATTAGAAGTCAGCAGGCAAAGAAAGCACCCACTCTCTTTTGCTTTATCATTCACCGTAAGGCTTCAAACGTTCTAGCAACACCTTGATTTAAAATCAACGAAAGTGATTAAGGAGATTGTGTGTAGTATTAATACATATTCAGGGGTTTAAAAATGCACAATTAGAACCTGGGGAGCCAATTCTAAAAAACTAGGGATTATTGTCATTTTAGAAACTTTTATTTACTTCTTTTCCCTAATGATGTTTATATTTACCTCAAGAGATAATTTTATAGGAAAAAAAAAGCACAATAATCTTGTGACCATGGCAGTAGCAGTTAAAACAGGCACTATTCCAGCAAAATTCTTGCTTGATTCTGAGAGTTTGCAGTTTTGAAAAAAGAAAAAAAATCATTTGAGCAAAATCTAAAAATAAACATATTCGTGTGAATTTTATGAACTTTGAATCTGCTTCTCATTCCTTAGAAGCAATAACATAGGATTAATTTCAAAATCTTCAGCTACTTCTACCACTTAAGCAGAAAAAAAATTCTGAGCTCATTCAATCATACAATTCAGCAAAAGATAATTCAGTGTTGCTGTAAATTGGTGAGTCTTCATAGATTGTGAGGAACTGGAGGAAGCTTGAAGAAATATCTCTTCTGCAAATAAGAAGATAAAAGCATTTATTTTTTTTTTTAATTTCTTTAAAACTCCTCTGGATGTCAAATGTAATCAGAAATGTCTACATTAATTTTACTTTTTAAATGTATAAGTGCATTGAATTTTAGAGCCTTTGCTGCAAGTTGGGAGCACACAGAATACAATAAAATGCCATAAATAGCACATTCTTAAAGATTTTTTTTCCATTTTTGAACTTATTTAACACAAATTTTTGTTCCCCTAATTGTTTTGTGTTTTTTTTTTCCACACATTCATATACTCAAATTATAGATAAATAAAATACTCTGAAATCCTTATTTTTATATGCATAAATTGTGCAATTTTTAAGGAAATAACACCATAAGGCTATGAAGTGTGACAGCTGACAATAATGCCAAAAAATCAAACCTCCAAAAGAAAATGCCAACTTCTAGTGCAAGGTAAGAGCTTGAACTTCAGTTTCAATTAATATAGACGTCTGGGAGGAACAAGATTTTAAATAAATCCTGCTTTCTTGTGATATTCTGATGAGGTATAATTTCAGTATCTCTTATGGTGCACTGGTATGCTTGTCTAAATTCTGGCAGCATGTTGCTTATTTTGTCCCATAGTCGCAGTATTAGCATTCACCGCCCCCTCCGTAATGGGGTTTACATTGTAAATAGTTTAGAATTGACTCTGTTACAAAATTCCCCAGCCTTAAATTTAAATTTTCAATAATATTTTTTTTTCTCCTGAGGAAAAAGATATTATTTCTCTTTCTTCCTAGATAGGAAAATAAACAAGTAGCAGAGAGAGTTGGAGTTCTGATCTTAATAACTGGTGAGTTTTGTTTTGTTTTTTTTTTATTAATAGCAGAATAGGATAATTGTCTTGTAATTTTAATGAATGAAGGAGTCTGTGCAATTAAGAAATAGTAGTAAAGGATCCTTAAATCATAGAAAAATGTGTGCCAGATTCTGCCAGAATGATAATTTGGGGGTGGTAATGCTAATGTCAGGATGCAGCCAAACTCTTTAATTATAAAGTTGGAAGGTATGTGTTTCTGACCAGGCTGCACTTGCTGCAGCTGTGCAGAACTTGCACCACTGAACCTTCTTCATGCAAAGAGGAGAAGGTGATGAGGCAGCTATATGTATTTTTTCAGCCTATGAAATAAAGAAAAGCATTTCAAAGCCTGCGTTCCCAAAAAGCCAGGCCAGTTAAGAAAATATTTGATTACGGCTTGTTCTCTGGCTTCTTAATATCTTAGGTTCTTTTTTCCTCATTTCCTTGTGTAGAGGCAGTTCTATAAACAACAGATTCCACCTCAGCAGCTTTGCTGCTATTTGAAAGGTGAGTGAACTCTCTAATTAGAGGAACACAATTTCTACTTGCTGCTCCTCAGCATGGCTAGGGAAAGCAAAAAGTAAACAGAGCACAGGTGCCTGGTCACACATGTGATCTATGATGTGGAGCATTATAATGAGAAGAGAGCTGGCTTGCAAGGGAAATGTTCTGGCCCTTTTAATTACACCTCGTGCATCAAGCTGTAGTTCTGTTGTCAGGGAAACTCCATTGGTTTTTTTTTTGTTTTTTTTTTTTTCTCCTTGTGAATAGCTGCCAACATAAAGTCCCATACGTTGCATGGAGACAACCCTGGGAAGGACCAGTTCTTCTCCTTTGGAAAGTACTTCAGAGGCCACTCAAGGGATGGGGTAACATCTCAGCTGCTTCTCCGTTGTTTAAATGTACTAGAGCAGTCTCTCCATTCTCATCCTACTACCTCGAGTGCATTAGACTGAAGTGGGAAATTGCAGTGTGGTTTTTAATGTATTTTCTGATATCAAATCTCTTTCACTTTCTAGGTCTCAAATCAACTTTCTGCTGTTGTTTTCTCTACTTGTCCATGTTCACTTTCCCTGTGCCCTATGGCTGATGAGAAAGTTCCTCTTTTCTAAGAGACCACTATCTGGGAAAATCATGAAGATCTGAATTCAATCTGCAGTGACAATAGTATCATTTATGAATGGAGAGTCCTGCCTGTCTAACTTGCTGCCCAATGCTTTCATATAGCTTATAATGCATATTGTAAAATGCATAACATATACTGCATAATACAAAATGGCAATAGAGAAATTCGTAACCATTTACAAACTACAAAAGTGGTCTGTAAATGAGAATGAACTACTTTATATGATAATTTATTATTTTAAACCTTTGTTCAAAGTTCACAGTAGACCAATTGTCTTGTGATTCTCCTATAACCAGTGAGAAGTTAATTCATTGCTCTTTCCGAGCTAGTTGCATACTCAAAAGTAGACATGAGAGAACTTAAAGTATTTTTTCTATCATGGGAGTATGACTCATACGCTTTTATCTGTACTCATTCTCTTGCCAGCAGTGTTGTTAAGTCTTCCAGAGAAAGAAGATGACTATACAAATAAATCTGAAATTTTATTAAAATGCTCATGTTCATTTTAATAAATAATATAATCTTTAAATCTTAAGTGCAAGGGGGAAAATGGTATTTTTTTATTCAGTATCTTCTGCACTTCACAGTAGAAAAGATATCTGGAGTATTAAGCATTTTAAGCCATAATGGAGATATATCTGGCAATGCAGTTTCCTCTGAGTTACAAGATAAAGATCTTTGACCTGCTAGTTAGAGGCCTGCCATAGTCCGGGCACTCCATTCCTTTGCATAGCAGTTGCAGGTCTTGTCTGCATTACTCATGTAGTTTATAAGATATTCAAACAGTCTAGTCTTATGTGTAATGTTTGGTGTACTGTAACTGTATCTAAGTTGACCCTTTGCCAGCAGTATTCAGTGAGGAAAAAAAAAAAACAACCAACATTTCTATTCCCAACTCTGAAATGGCATTTGTAAAACTTCTGTCTTCAGCTGTTTTTCAGGCCTGATCTCTCTTGAAATATATCTATATAGGTATGTTCTAAAACTGATTCTTTATCTGGAGGGGTCTTACTGGGAGATAATTTTCTTTATTTAATGTGCACTACACTGTCATCAGTGAGAAATCCCAGGCTGCATTATCTTCAGATTAATGTAAATACTGCAGACTAATGTAAATGCTGGGCTACTGCCAAGTAAGTCTTTATTCATGGAACGTCTCTGTGCTGTACCTCATACAGCACTTTCCATGAGAGGCAAGTCATTTTGGGGAGTATTTGGCATGTATAATCATGTACATTATTGGAAACCTGCCAAATATTCCCTTTGTTCTTACCTTAGGTGTTGTTCATGGACACTTTCTTGGAAGAATTGTAGAAGTTAATTTTATTGGCAGAGAAGCTGTTGGTTTAATATCTTTCAAGAATATTTTAAGATTACTAATACAGTAAAAGTGCTCAAGAAAATATTAATTCAAACTATGTAAAATTAAATCAATAGAGGTTTTGTTTTTACTGTTTACTGAAAATGGGTCATGATAACTAATATATTTATCCTGGATAAGTGTCCTGATATCTGCAATTAAACTTAATTTACTTGCATTCTCAATTTTATTGTTATAGCAGTGTTTTGTTTTTTTTTCTGAAAAAAAAAAAAAAAAAAAAAAAGTGTCAAGTACTTACACTCCTCTAACTTATACATTAATCTGGACATAATTAATGCATTTTGTCTTGCTTTATACAGAATTTGTTGGAACTTTAACATTTTTTCAGTCACTTCTGAATATCTTTATGGGAATAGAGTAGAGAAGAGTGGACTAGGATAGTTCACTTGGAAGAGATCTTCAAAGATCATTGAGTCCAACTGCATGAACATTTTAGAGCTAAAGTTAGGGTTTCTGAGGGCATTTTCCAAATGTCTCTTGAACGCTAACAGGCATGTGACAAAACCATCTCTCTAGTAAGCCTATTCCAGTGTTTGACCACCTGTATGGGAACTGCTGAGTCACGGCCTGAACCTCTGATTGATCACCTGAGGCGAGCAATGAGTGAGCCAGAGGAGCACAGGTGAAGGCAATTCTCCTGTGCTGCTGGAAGGGGTGGAGCCTGGCTCCACTCATCCTAGACTTATTTAAGAGCTGGCTACCAGTGGGAGAAGATCTTGTCTAGAGATCCTCTCTTTTGGTGTTTTTTTTGTGGGTGAGCCAAGCATACGAGTAAGTCCTCCATTTATTCTCTCTTGTTATCTTAGTCTATTTTGCCTCTCTTGTTCTTTTTTGTGATTATAGCATCTTAATATCCATTGATTATACAACCACCTCAGAAATGAACATCTCCATTCGGGTAGGACAGGGTTTCCTGTCCCCCTATGCCTCATCACCAATTTGTTGCATTCTACTTTGAGCTTTTTTTCTGAATAGCAAAGTCCTTCCTAGTCTTTATGTTATGGAACACATAACTAGGGAATCCTTCCTTGCTAAGTTTTCTACTCCAAAAGTCATAGTACCTGTAACAGAAAAAGTGGTTCATTGTAAAAACCTGATTGAAATTAGCATATACCCAGGAAGTAGGTAAGGAGTCACCCTTTTCTGATCCCAGAGGTATATACGAGTACATTTAATATACTAAAGTTGCAGAAAAATTAGTATTTTTTCTTCTTGACATCTAACCAGCACATCGTCTTTTCTGCCATATTGTTTGTATGCTATCTCCTTATTAAGGTACTTGTTATTTTCATTAAAAATAAATCTATTCTTTTAATATTTTAAATAAGTGATAGCACATAATTGTTTCTTCATAGAAATATCTTCCAGGGATATTTAATGTTATGGAAAATCTTCTGGAGTAATGTTTGAACATTCACTTTTACTGTAACATTCTGTTCTATAAAAAGTGAACTTTATATTATAAATTGTAAAAAAGAAGAGATGACAACTGTTTTCCATATGATTAGAGCACTGAATGATAAAATGTAGAACTGCTTGCTGATGTTGGGTAATTTTCTTATGAACCTCTTAAAAATAGCACCAAAGCTTAAAAAAAAAAAAAAAAAAAAAAAAAGTTTGCAGTACTGCACCCTTGACTTTGTGGAAGCTTTTCATTTTATTGAAAATTATTCTCCCACACAGTTGTCTATAATCCATGTCTATGTCCCAAATAAAAAAATAAAAATTGATCACTGCTGGAGGAAAAAATGACTGTGAGTTTAACTGGACTGTGGTTTATAACACATAGATGTTGAGCAGTATTCTTTGTGTGAGCTCTTATTCCACCGCCAATACAGAGTAGTTTAAAGAAATTAGGGTAGGAAAACCCTTCTATGTCACAGAGGAAGAAATGCACACAGACTTCTCACACTGGAGTAGCTGACACGCTGTAAAATTACAGTCTAGCTTTTTCCTGATAACTCATGTCATTATTTCATGTAGACATTCATGTAGCCAGTCCTCTAGTTGCTCTGTATCGCAGTAATTTCCAGTTCAGTCTACGAGCCTTACTTATTGAGATTTATGGCCATTGATGTAGCTCCACTTACATGTTTAAGAATGTTGTATGACTAGACTATGTAGGAATGATAAATCAGGCCACAGTAGGGGTGATACAACACTGTGATGTTCATCTAACAGAATATTACTGTGTACAGAAGGCCAAATAACAGATACAAAACCTAGAAGAAACAAACAAGCTTGTAAAACTTAACTTTCCAGTCAGGATATACTTGTTATCTGTATTATATGAGAATCAATTAATGCTAACTGCATAATTAAATCAATTATAGATGAACTACTTAATTAAGTCTTAACTGCACTTTCATTCCATCAATCTGCTGATGGCGATATTTCTCCTTCTAATAAGGAACGCTGTGTGGTCAGAATGTTTCTTGGGCTCTTTGGTAGCCTCTAACAATGATGGTATCTCTGAAGCATACCACAGGCAGTATGTGAGTAAGCCTTCTTTGCGCACCTGAGCCCCAGCAAAGCCGATTTAATACATGAAGGTCTGGGGCTCTGCAGTAGAATTTGCAGTCTACCACTGTAGGACTCAGTTGTTCCAAAACTGGGTTGTCTTACTGTCTTAGGCAGTGAAGCTCTCTCAGTGTCACTGAGACATCTGTTAAAATGTGCATAAGAGGTTGAGAGAGGTATGGCAGAGCTAAGAGAAACAATTTAGCAGAGATGGTGCTCAAAGAGATTTTCTGGAAATGAGCAAGGAAGGAAGTCAAGCAGCCTTCCAGTGGGCAGCAACACAGCTCTTATTGTTATGAATTCAAGAAAAAAGAAGAAATAATAATTACAGAGACTATCCATAGAGAACTGAGAGGACCCTTAAGTTAAGCACTATGCAGAGTGGATGGACCTGTCTGATTTAAATAGAGCTATTCCTGAGCAGTGTGGCGATGAGTCCTCACATCTATTGTGAGAGTGCAAGATTGACACATGGCAGCAATCTGTGCAACCTATGTTGTCTCCTTGCATAATGTTACAATCTTTAAATACAATTTTTCCTAATGTTACCTAAGAGTAGTTTTACTTATTACTTTCCATGACTGAAAGTATGTATTTATTCAACAAGTGCTATAAATTGAGCAGAACAAGAGCTTGTTCACTGAGAGAAGAAGATGGGTGAAGAAGAGTAGGAACAGAGATGGCAAACTCTACACCTCTTTAACACAAATTTCTAACAAAATGCTTCCTAAAGAAACTGAAAACAATCACACAAAACCCAAACTATAAAAGCAAAACAAACCAGCCAAACAAACAGATTTGCTCAATTTTTTGCTTAATTTTTGCTTAATTTTTGAACCATTAACAAGTTAATATGAAATCAGAGAGCTTCCAAAACTAAAATTAAATCAAAACTCTAATATACACTGGAGTGGTTGTTTTTTTATTTTTTTATTTTATGATTGGCAGTATTTAATGCAACCATCAACAACTTATTAGATCCTTTGTGAACTGGATTAAATGTTATTTTAAGATTCATCCTCATGGAATAATGCTGTTTATGCCAAACTGCTGAACTCCTACATCGAAAATGTTTGGATACTTTGTAATTTATTTACATGCAGGTTGATATCTGACATGTACAATTTTGTGGGCTTCTACAACACTGTGTTCCTGTAAAAATGTTCTATTTTCTGATATTTTCCAATTCTGCCTGTTCTCACCCTATTCCTCATTGACAGTCCACCACCAATTAAGCTTCATGGCCAGTACTATACATCAAAACTAAAATACATATAAGTAAATAACTTATTTATTGAAATATACCATGTCAAAATTGCCAGAATTCACACTCAGTTCAGGCAAAAATTAAGTAGAAGTTTCAAGTTTCACCTGGAATGAAAATGAAGCATTTTAGGAAGGGAAAAAACAAATGCTTAGCAGTTTAGAAAATGCTAAAATGAGTTGGACGCTTCTATAAATAACATTAGCAACATATGGAATGCTGATGTATTTTCATATAAATTTGTAATCAAAGACAATTGCTATGTGTGGAATTGCTCTTGACTCTCATTTTTTATTCTCCATTCAAGGTAAGACTTTTAAGGGTTGTTCTCATTCTTCTGATACATTTGCATGTTGCACAGACTACACAGGAACCTACTGATCCACTACAACCTTGTAATAGACTTGTCAAGGGAATTTTGAGTGAAAATTTTCTCTATATTTTTGGAGTGTGTCCTGATTACTACTGTGGTGGTTTTTTTTTTTTTTTTTTTTTTTTTTTTTTTTTTTTTTTTTTTTTTTATATAAATTAATTAATTTATTATTGTTGTACAAGGAAAGCACTAAACATTTCACTAAAAGGAAGAATCAGTGTATAACTGACATTAATGAACAGGGTGAAAAACACATCATTTTCCATTTTGTCAAAGACAATGTTACTGTTTCCAGCCACATTCTAGTCATAAATTTCAACTTTCTGTTAAAAGTAAGAAGTGCAAGCTTTCAGAAAATTGCAATCCAGATTTGCAATGAGAACGAGACATTTTTGTAAAGTGCAATTTGCAAACCTAAAACTGTTGTTCTAGTCAATGGAAAACAGAGATGAAATTGACTTTAAAAATGAATTTTTATCTATTTTTGTTTAGAATTTTATGGAAACACAAAGGAAACTAGATGAATTGGAACAGAAAACCTTCTAAACAGTAATTTTTCTTCTTTTTTTTTTTTTTTCTTCCTGCTTTTGGCTAGATTAAATGCAGGGAAATAAAGCACACTTGGAGCGCATTTCCTCACTTCCACATCTGCATCTGACCAGGTTTCCCTGAGAAGTACAGGCTACTAAAAATGATGATATTTTTTATCCAACAACATATTAAACTTCTATCTACTTGAGGCAGATCTGTAGAATACAGAAGCAGCTGGATCCAGCTGAGGCAGGGAGGTGGGTTGGGGGAGGGTGATAAGCAGGCAATTTTTGTGGCTTCTGTAGAAGCTGCAACAATAGAGTGAGACTATCCTACAGGCCATTTTCACTTTATCTTTTCTCCTGGGCTACATATCTTCCTCCTAATATTATCATAATTTATCACACCTTTAAGATTCGTCTTGCTGGCACAATGCTTTTAGATCATGGACCTTACATTCATAATTGATTCTTCAATGGGTTATCTGTGGCTTCTTTTTCATAGGGTATCCAAAAATTTAGAATTCAATTCCTTGACTTTCATTCTTCTTCATGCTGCTCTCCAAAAGGGTATCTGACAATTTCTGCTCATTGATTTTTGTGCTATCTATACTCATTTTACAGCTATACTATGTGATTTTACTAAAAAATAAGGGCTAAACCTTTTCTTCTAACTTAACTTGTAAATCAGAGAAAATATTTTATACTTGGTGAAGACCACTAGCTTTAGCTTTTCAGGTGAAAGTTAACAATTTGCATCAAAACCAGCTCTGCTCACTTTTGCAGGCATTTGTAGTTACTATTTTTGTAAAAGAAACTGCAAAGGATAGAATGTTGTGTTGCAAGCAGCGAATGCACGCAAACAAAAATTACATTTTGCCTATAATTCTAGATTTCCTACTTCTGGAATGTACCACTTGCTAAGGACAGGCAATAGATAGACATACAGATGCAATAAATCAATAGGGCAATAAATAATCCCTGAACCGAGGGATCTTCTCCCAAGGAAGATGTGCTGATCTACTGTGAAGTTTATAAAACACAGGTAATTTTTAGGCCTTGCTTTTTGCTCTAAGGGTAACCTGATATGATATGGTCTCACTATGCTAGGATCTCATGACATCTGAGGCTGCAGGCCAGGAGCAGTGAGGAGTGTGTTTGGAGGAGTTTGCTGTTGCTCCTTCTGCCACCACTGTTTCCTCCAACAGTCACTGCAGTGGCGTTACTTAGTTTGAGATGTGAAAAAAGTGCAGTGTTATCTCCCTTAAATTGTTGTTGTAAGTATACGGATCATTAGCCTCTCTTTAATTTGTCTCTTAAGAAATTCAGTATTTTGCTGGATTCTCATTAATACCTAAAAATGCATCAAGTGCAATTTTAAATATCAAAGAGGAAAGATTATTTCTCTCTTCCATATAAATAACATGTTTCTTGGCTTTTTAGGACTTCGTTCTGTGTCCATTTTAAGTTCCATGCATCATGTTCTTTGTGGAAATAATTAAATGATTTATCACCTTATCATCTGCTGTGACACTTTTTTGTTTTTCTTCTTCTGAGTAATGCAAGAAGAAATGTCTGATAAGTGACATTCTTTACTTTGACAAAATCAAAATCAGAGTGGTAAGTTAGCTGGAATTACAATAAGACAGAACACCAGGTATATCAGCACACTCACTTCTTTTACTCACTTATATTTCAGTCTTATGCACTGTAATAAGTATTAATTGAGTAAAGTATTTTTAAATACAGTAATGTGAATGAAATTGTACAGGTAACTGCTGCTTAGATTACTGAATATCATTAATTATGCCAAAGTTTACAAGCATGAGGTTGCATTTAAGATTAATCATTTGTCATTTCAAATATAATTGTTTATTACTTCTTAACTTTATGGAAAAACAAAAGCTATACTAACTTTATTTTGGCTGTTTATTGGTTAGTGTGTATATAATATATGGACGTAACATCATATATAAGACGTTATTTAATTAAACCCACTGCTGTGTGATAGGAACAATGTCCTATTAATAGATAATGAACATTTTTCTCTAGTTGAAATGATAGATCTTGAACTTTTAGAGCAGATGTCACAGACTTTTAAGAGATAAAACTGTGTTAATCTCAGTTTGTAATAGGATCATTCCAGCTATCCAAAATCAGAGAAGTAGAGAAAATTGAGAGTAATGTCCCACAGGATTGTGTAATTAGTAACACCTGCAGGCTCTCACTTCTTCTCTGACTTTATGCTAACTTTCTTCTAGTCTACGGTCTGCAGCAAACCTGTGATAACTGGGGAAAAAAAAGGTGTCTGGTTGGAGTTTCATTGTACAGACATCTCAAGGACAGAGGTAGAGTAGTTTAAACACCAACTCTTGCTCAGGGCTATGCCTCAGGGTGCAGCTGAACGCTTTCAATGCACTAGAAACATTTTCAGATACTGTCTTTAAAAATAGGGTAACAGCCTGTCCTAGTTCCATATTTCATGATCTCTCAGCCATTTACCACACTAAGCAATGCTAGTAGATCTTATAAGCACTGGATGCTTCCACAGAACATGAAAAAATCTCTAGTGAAACACATGAATTTTCACTTTGGATAACCAGCCTGTGCAACTGAACATGATAAACCAATATTAACATGCCTTAGAAGGTAAAAAAGTTCTCACATAATGAAACTAAGGAATTACAGCATATGAATTAGCTCTATAGTGAGGTCAAGGGACCTTATCCCATTTCATTCCCTTCTGAAATACACAGATTTGAAACTGAGCTTTTGCAAATACGTACAGATGGGCTTCCTTAAATGATCAACTGACTGCCTAAGATTCAGTTGTACTGTGTTTATATTTAAATTCAAGCTTTATTATTGTTCCATAACGTATTTCTGTATTTAATTCATGAATTCTTTCGGTGGCATGGCTGTTTAGCACACTTGCAAAATTGACCAAAGCTTTCTTTGGCCTTGAAACTAATGGGAAGAGGGGGTGCTGTCATTTTCAGATCAAATAGTCACTAGGGTATTTTTGTTTGCTTTGTTGTGTTTTGTTTCTGCTCCTATTTTTGCTTTTTTCTATTATTTCAGCATAGAAGTGTGTTATGTCTTATGGAATTATACTCAGAATATAAAAAGTTAAGTCCAGTCATTGTAAACTTACTGAAGAAATTAGCATAGCTTATGTCAGAAAGAAAGTTACATAAAGATTTATTAAACCAATGCTTCACCAAATTTTGATGAAATACAAATCACTTATCCTGTTTAAGATGCAGCATAGTAATTTTGTTGGAATTATGGTACTCTTCATTCTTAAAGGATCATCAAATGATTCAGGTTGCTCCGGAAGTAATGCCTCCAATTTTATTATGTTGGCCAATGACATCAGAGACAATGTTGGTGGTACAACTGTAGATGTAGAGTCTTCACACCAATGTTCTGTTATGCTTTGTTATTGTGTAACAGATGGCAGCAGAGAGGCAGTTTAGCAGAATAGCATCTGACATGGAAGTGAGTATGAAGATAAGGTGTGGAATTGAATTCCTCCATGAAAAAAACTGCACCCACTGACATTCAGTAACACTTGCTGAATTTTTATGGAGACCAAAAAGTGGATATGAGCACAGTGAAGCAGTGGGTGTTGCACTTCAGCAGCAGCAACATGGAAAGACAGTCACAATATGGAAGGCCATGCACAGCTATTGTAATATCATGAAATGAAAAGCGTCTCAATTATCTCATCTGTGCAAATTGGTTAACAGTGGTGGCTATGTTGAAAAAAGTGTTTTGTAGCTGAGAATTTGCTCTAGCAAATAGTGTTATTTTGCTCTGTTGTAGTTTTCATGGAAATAAATAAGAGGCATTATTTTCAGAGCAACCTTTGTATACCTCAATAATACTGGAAGAGCTGAATCTGAGTTGAAAGTATGTTTGTATTTCTGCTGGTATGTGGAGGCTGTTACTGTGAGACTACTGCTGGCCATCAGGGCTTTCTACTAGAACTACCTAACAGACCTGCAAAAAATGTCCTTGCCATTTCCATGTGCACAGAATCTGTTCCACCTGAACTCTGGTTAACTAATTTCAGAAGAAGAGCTGTATCTAAACTTTATGGATATTTTTAAACTTCATTGACAAGGTCATATGTACAGAAATGCCTTTTCCTTCCTAACATTTTCTGTGAGGGGGCTTGGGGACAGGAAGCAGCTTCTTGTGATTACTTGCTGCTCTACTCTTGTGAAAAAGAATACTGCAGTCGTATGTTGCCTGAGCCATGAGATCTACATACTGTATCTGTCTACTTTCAAAGCACCTATTGCTACATAGAGGTATGTTTACTCTGTATGCAGTAAGTATATTGGTAGTGAACTATGCTAAGATGAGAAAATGTGCTAAAAGAACAAGAGATTCAACTGAAAAGGAACTGCTTAATAAAATTTCTACTTTAAGATAGCGGCAAATTAAGGCCACAAAATTCTCAAAAAAGGTAAATAGGTTTAATTTATGGAGAAGTTAAAGGACACTCAAAGCTCGAGATGATTTTATCTCATTTTTAAAAACAAAGCAAAAAAAAAAAAAAAAAACAACCCCACACACTTCATTAAACTGTATACTTCATAACTCTCACATGTATATGGCAGTTTCTGTTCTGCTTCTTAGAGACTGTTTAATAGTGAAGCGCCATAGGAAAGTCTCCCGTTATGAAGACTTCATTATTTTTTCTAGTGACGGTGCCAGTGCATCATAAAATAGCATAATAATTAAAAACTAAACTAGTGTTAGTAGAAGAAAAATGAATGAAGAATTCACTGATGCAGAATATCTTTATTTAGTGTTTATTACCTTACTAATTCATAAAACCGTTACAGTGGTTATTGCTATCTTCATTAGTATGTGAACTCGCAAGGTGATTAACAACAGTAAGTACAAATAAAGATCAGGAAATTAATAACCAGGATGATGAAAACAGCTTTTAAAATCTGGAATTATTTATCTTTCCAATTTTAAATAAATAATAAAAGAGAAAAAAACCTATTTTTACTTCTGCATTTTATTTCTGCTAATTATTGCACAAATTAGATTGAACACATTGTAAAGAGAAATGGATAATTACTCAGAAGCAATTAAAGACCCTAAGTCTGTATAGTAATTATGATTATTTTCTTTGGAAAATGAGAGTGCCATTTATCTTTAATGTATGCTATGTAATTAAGACTATATGCAGTTATCTTATCATCCACTTCCAATGAGGATTGTTTTTTTAAATATTTGGCAAGAGTGAAAGTAGTTGTGTACAGTGGGACACTCTTATAAGTAAAGAATGTTTTAAAGTAAAGAATGTTAGTCATAACTTCAGTATTCCTAATCTGCAGCTTCCTAATTTGTTTATATTTAGTGACTTCCGACATGACTGACCTAGTATTAGACCTGACAGTCACTTCTCTTGCTCTTCTATGTCTCTATGAATTCTCTGTATTTTACTAAATTCCTCAGCTTCTGTTGATCTATTTAACTGTCCCAGCAAAGTGTCTACTCATGACTTTGTAAAGCTGAACTTTATGCAGTTTTGCTTAAGAAATATTTGAAAGATTGCTGTGCAGCAAGAACTGTGCTCCAGTTCTTCATTCCTGAGCAACTTCTATAGTCAGATAAGGAAAGGTGCAAGAAAAAAGTGGCCTTTCAAAATAGTTATTAATGTTTAAGCTAATGAGTAACTTTACATTGTTCTTTGCCCACATAGTTTATCTCCTTCTATGAAGATCTTTCCAGGCTAATCCTTCCCTAGCTTATAGAAAGAAATTCTGCAATACTAATACTGTTGAATGCAAGAACACACAGAGCTTGACTTCTGGAAGAGGTCACTAAAGGATGTGATCCAATGTGCTGGAAATGCAGCTGTAGTATTAGCATGCTTTGGATTGGGTTATATCATTGAATCATATATGGGCAATAAACAGAATAACTTGTAACACCGTGCTGACTTTTCCTCTGGCTCTAAGGTAGTCACAAAAGGAAATATCCAATGATAACTGAGTTCTCTCCCAGTGACACACAGCTTTGCTGTATTAGCAACCTGTTGATCTCATGTGAAGTCCCACCAATGCACTACTCAGGAGCAACATGAACATCCTGAGAAGGTAGACTTTTGTGGAAGTCTCAAAATGGAGAAAAATAATTCTAAATCAGAAGATCTGTAGCTCTTCCTCAATATGATGATCTGACATAAACGGAAGCAACACATACTCTCTTAATGATTGTGGATGAGATTTCAGCAACACTTTTTTGGGAGTCCACTATGGAAATTGTGAGTTCTCTTGTAAGCTATTACTTGCTCCATTTTTGTTCTTGGAATGACACGGTTTTTCATCTTTAAATAACATATGTTGAGTCCAATTGGGAAGTATTTTGACAGTAAGTACCATACTCTTGATCCTTTATGAAACAGAGTATGGGAATTCTGTGTTGTTCACAGCACCAATTCAAAGGGAAATTGGAAATCACTTTAGCAGTAAGCATTTTCAAAACTGCTGCTTCAGAGACTGTCTCTCAACAATAGTGATGAAGAATCACGTTAATTAACAGTTAAGTAACAATTATTATCCCCATGACATCAAAAGACTTCACATTTCTCTTTAAATTTAGTAGATCAGATTATCATTTAAAAAACAACAGTATTTTATAATAATGTAGAGTACCTGCCTGACCTGAGCAAAACAAAATATTAAGTTGAAATTCGAGACCTTGGTTTTTTAACAAGATATCAGCCAACTTTAAGTATGGTTGCTGGACAGAGTCCACCAACAAATAACAGAAAAGGAGTGAATTAAATACTGCCAGGTCACATTCTTTTGGATGACTGACTGAGATGTCTGCCATAAATGTGCCATTTGGAAGTGAGAGAAGGCAAGTAGACTTGTTGAAGGTAGACAAGACACCTTGTGTCCTAGTGCTGTTGAAGAGATGCCTGGGAAAAATGCTGGTGGGTTGTTGCACTCTGCAGAGATCTGCTGCACTGTATCTGTGATTTTGGGCGAGTCCAAGAGCAGGAGTAGGGTAAGAAGCCAAGGCCTGACCTGAAAGGGGAGAGCTAAGGGCTTCTTGTAGTTGCATGGAAACAGTGAGCACACACTTTGCCATTGTAGACATTCAGTTGCTGGAATCATCCAGCCATTACAGAAATCCAACCATTGGAGCAGGCCAGCAATTGGAACTGTTGAGCAGTGAGCAAGCATGACAACATGGCTCTGTTTTGGGGACTGATTTTGCATTCAGCAGCAAGTAACGACCTGGAAACAGCTGGAAGAGGAAAGTCATGGTCTTTTCATATCTTGTTGAGCTTTTATTTTGTCAACAAGTATGAAGCCATAAAGCCCAGAGATAAAGATGACCACATATAAATTAGGGCTGCATTCCATGATGTAGTGTATTCTTTATGTAGGTAGTTCTTGGCATATTTATTACTGTGTTACTGTAACTTCCTGAGGTGGGCTTTTTTTTTGCTACAGTTCTGAAATGCCCAACACAGCCAAACAGTAAGGCTGTAAATAGAGCCCACGGAACTTTCTTTTATTAAATGTACGGCAATGTGAATATTTAAACACAAAAAGTAAGAAATTTATCACCCTGAGTATCTAAGTCATTACTGAAGTAAAATGTTGGGTTATATACTATTTGTCTACTCTATACAAACATCCTAGAGTAGTTATGAAACAAGTGGTTATATGCTGTTTTATTTATGTATTCTGTTAAACAGCGCTCTACAAAGATAGCAAAAAATGTGTATTAGTACTAAATCTAGCCATGCAGTTTAAACAGATTTCTGGATTTCACCACAATGACATTCTATGCAAATAGAATTTAACACATGTAAAATTAATTTGAAATAAACTACTGCGTCATATAGCAGTTACATATGAACATAATTGAAGGTCTAATCATTCCATAGTGAGGTTCTTAACAGATTGTCCTCCAAATGAATGCACTTAATGTTTAACTCTTTCTTTGGCATTACACATCAGAAGTTCAGCATTTCTAAATTTTTAATTGGTATGTATGCCAACCATTTCCAATTAATATATATATAGTTAAATAACTAAATCAGTGTTTAAGCTCCTTTACCAAAACAAATCCAGCCACATACAACGGCAGTTTGTTAGTGGCCCCTTTTCAGAATTTGCTAGTCTCAGCAGTTCTTGATAATTGTGCTCTTCTTGCTTGGATGCCTACAGTCAGTCACTCTATGTTCTGATTCAGAAATATAAAACAATAATCTTCCTCTAAGAATATCTCAGTGAAGTTGGATTAATCAAGGACTAAACAGATCACCACTGTAAAGGGAAATTCCTTTTTTTTTCAAACGTCTGAGGAGAAACATTTAGCTACCTTGTAGAAAGACTCTTCTTTCATCAGGTTAATGTTGTTATCAGCAAAATGCAAGAAAGATTAAGGATCTTTTTTTTTTTTTTTTTTTTTTTTTTGATTTCTAGATTCAAGTCAATCTTTTCTCAGCCAATATTTTGTGGGAAAATATACCTGACTTTGAATGATACAGACTGTACAAATAACTGTATTATAATAATGAGTTTAAATGGAATCTGAGAAGTTATTTGTCATTCATAAATAAAGTCTGAGAAAGAATCAGAAAGAATATATACCTTACCTTGGAACTGCAATGGTGCTATTTTTTATCATTTCACTCCAGGTAAATTAATTCCATATTATATACTAAAGAGAATGAAAGACGTATGTCCCTGTGAACTTAATATTTGTCACACTGCTACAAGAAAATGGATTTCTCTAGTTAGGTGTTGATAATATTATTGTGCTACCTACTACATTGTGCTATATCTATTACACATATATAAGCAGTATATTGTGCTACCTACTAGGGGGAGATAGTGTGGTTCCTGTGGGCAACTTCCTGAGGGCTTAATAAGTTCTGATTATGTGCTTGGAGCTGTGCAGCTTTGCTTTAGAACGCTGATAAGTCAAGGTATGAAAATATTCATTGTTTTACTGTCTACATGTATCCAGGAGCCATATGTTGCATGTAGCAGATCACAGAGGAGAAAAGAACTCTTAGAAGTCTTACCATACCCCTCAGGGATTCCTTACCTCTAGTGTGGAGCTGGGTTGGCTGGGCCAAACAAGCAGCAAGTGCAGCTATAGAAGCTGTGGTACCCACACTGCTCAAGGACTTTCCAGTTTGGCATCCTGTGTGGGGAAACAGAAATGTAGTTCTTCCCATTTGTTCAAAGATTCCAGTTTTTAAAGTTTACAAAGATCATATAAAGTGAGTAAAAATACTTCTTTAAAAATGCATCAGAAAGTACATGAAAGACTCTGTGACAAATCAAAGAACATGCTGCATATTTTAAAACTTCTTTTCAAAGGCATAAAGCATATAGTTATATATATATAACTACATATAGAAAATATATAGTTTTAATACTATTCACTTCATATACACAGCAAAACAATACAAAACAATTTTGCAGGGAATTAAGTGTTGCATCAATAATCATTAATGATTGCCAGTGTGTTATTGTACAATAAATGGATCCTTCTCCTAATTACTTCAAGACAATAATACTTTCATTTTTATTGCAGTAATTTTTAAGCTGTTGAACAAGAACCTGATACTGTAGTCTGTGGAGCTACAGGCATATTATTGGTGATGGTCCTATCAGCGTACTAAAGTGAAATGTTTTCTCTTCAAACTAAGCATGCTAGTCTTTGTCAGCATGAGATACACTACTGCACATAATGAAATCAATTTCTTTTTTGAGATTCCTTAGATTAAGGTAGGCAACATGCTGCTACCTTCAGTGAAGAGACTGGTACATCTTACCTGATACAATCTTGATATGATGAAAGATCAGTCGTGCAAAACTTTGGTCAAGCCATGCTGAAAAATAACATCTTTCTGTTCACTGGTTATTTGCCATCCCTGATTCCATATCAAGTTCTTGTCAAAAACACTTCTCTCCAGCAATGAGCACTCCATGGTTAAGGTCACGTTTGAAAACAAACTGCTTATTTCTATTTCATAAATTATGACAAACTGTAGAAGCCATGTGTATTGATTGTCACTTGCCCATTTTAGCACTGATGATCAAAAAGCATGCATCAATAGTTCTGACGGTGTCCTTTTGCTAATATAGACAGAAAAATGTATTAAATACACAGAATTGACAAATTCCTTCAAAAACTGCTGCAGGTGGGTTCCCATTTGTTTTTCTTCACTGCCTCAGAATAAAAAAGAAGGCAAAAATACTTAAAGACATACATGAGAAAGGACTTTTGCTTCTGGGACTAGTATGGTATAGTATTTCCTTCAGGCACAGGAATTAATTGAAACAGTATATAGCTACTCTGACTGTACTGGAATTTCTTATAAGCTTTAAAATAGGTGGCTTTTGGGGGGTTAGAAAAAGTTAAACTTATTTCAACATTTACTGAATTTGGAGTTCTGAGTATCAGCTGTAACTTTGTTTTTAGTACCATTGCTGCCAGGCAAAATGGGAGAAACCTTGTTTTGGAAGGAATGCGTGTCAGGAGTCATTAAATATCTCTTAGGGTGCTGAAGCTATTCAGCTCTTTTTTTTTTTTTTTTTTTTTTTCCTAAACTTATTAGAAATATTCAAGGAATAAAATATGGTTTCTTAGCTGCAGTTGTTGTGCTCCTCATAATTTCCTTGAAGATACAAGCACCTTATGACTTTTGATAAAGATGAGGGAATGCGAAAAGATGAGGACAGCATAAAAAAGCTGGAAAATGTTCAATTATTTAAACAAAGATTTTTTCTTTTGCTTAGTAGATACATATTTAACATTAAAATTCTGTTCAGAAACATTATCTTTCATCTGATTTTTTAACTTGCTGGTGATTTTCCTAATCACAAAATGAGTTTTCTAAATCTGCTTTAGCTCTAATTTGCTCCTCTCCCATCTTTTCCACTTCTAAGCT